TGAACCATGCCATGCCCTTCAGGATATATATATAATATATATATATTTGGATTAAGTCACTACTAATACGTCACAAGACTTGACTGGAGGTATTCGGAGCACATGTTCACAATTTCCACCGCAACCGCCATGAACCTTTCCCCAATGCCCAACAGTACCAGGTTTGCCTCGTTGCGAAAGTAGAGAAGCTGACAAACCTGACGCAAGCGAAACGTGCTCAGCACTGCTGCACAGCCATCTCGTGAGCAAGAACTCCCATCAAAACAAAATTACTAATCTGCACAATTTCTTTGTGGGATCTTATATAACTAACTAGAGGAGTTGTAATGCCCCGCCCATTGACAGAGTCGTCCTCCTGAAAGGGTCGCTCCTCAAACTACTACCTACACTTTCCAAACAAGTTGCATGTGGTATATGTATGCGTACAAAATGTAAGTTACTCGTCCAATGCCAACGCACTCAGAATTTCCATGTTAATGTACGAAAACAATATCTGAAAGTTGTGAATATGTAAATTTTATCGAGGTTCGTGTCCAATGAGACGACCTGACAACATCGGAACGCTAGTGGTGACTTGCTAGTTAGGCTCGGAACCGCGAAGAGAAGCTACATAGAACACAGTTCCCGTCACCCGTCTTTATGAATTGAGTTGATCTTGGAAGGATTTGTGGCTATTGTAGGGAAAAAACAAAAGCAAAAGGTAAATTTAATCCCTGGCAATTCCACAGAACAACCAGATCAAATTACCTCAGGTTTGCACTTTGCGACTTGCTAAGTGCGACGGACAGAATTTGACTGGAGACATGGTAGGCAAAAGCATTAAGAAGAGGTACAGCATGGATCCCAGCCAAGCCACGCTGGGGATTGCCGCTGGAGGCAGTGGAGCCTCCAGGTCCTTGGGCAAACATCCGTCATTGTCCCAATCCAGGCCGCGGTAAGATCGTTCCTTCATGTTCCATCTACTTCAGTATTATTAACGTATATTACAGCTATGATACGGTGAACACAAATGTCCGTTGCACATCTGGAGTGCTAGAGGAAGAAACGGGAAGAAAGGACGAAGTAAGGGTCGAATGGTTTAAAGAAACATGAAGCACACTAGAGAACACCAACAAAGATAAACACAATCTCTTCAGAAGCTATTCGCTCTCCTGGCAGGTCTCTTCATCGTAGTCGACCAAGCGCTCCAGCAAGGCACGGTCGGCCTGTGACACACAGCATGCGCAGTCCAGTTTAATCCAGTTTAAATGGATCCTTTGGGTTGCTGAGCACAAGCACCCGACTCATTCAAGGTCCGCTTCATTTGATGGAAACACTATGAAACACTTGTGAAATGACCTAATAGGCTAATGGGACACTCAAGAACAATCGAAGCCTTTTGAAAGGTTGAGTCCAGTAACCTTCCAATTCCGCTGATACTTCGCCTGTCCAAGGCCGCCCTATTGCCTATTCCTCCAAACATGACTGGACAAATTGCAATTCATCCTTTCCCAAACAGCTTCCTCCATCCCGGTCTGCCTTATCAAAAGAAGAGAGGCGTGGGGAGTTGGTACCTGTGGCTGACAAGGGGTAGAGACTGGTCAGAAGTACCCTGCTGACATTTGTCAAAGGTCATGTTCACTGGTCAACAAAAAGATAGTCAGTCAACCATCCATCATAATTGGTCCGCTGAATCCTTTGATTACCAAGTCAACAACTCTATTGTCTCCTGACGGTTGAAAAACCGGCTTTCAGCCCACCCAGCATCAAACCAGGGGTTAGAAGGCCTGTTCCAACATGCCCTCACACCCAGACTCCACAAGTGCAGTTTATTTTTATACTTAGCCAATCAGAATCCGGTTTGCTCCTGACAATCATAAAACCTGAAACCACCAATATACCCAGCCTGTTGTTGTTGTCGTGACCACCACAGGTGCCTGAGGCTTGGTCATGATTTACTCGTGCTCAGTTCCCCCAGAATGTTCCATTCATTGATGTGAGCGCTTCATTTGAGTTAATGTGATTGTTGAGCAAAGTTTATATAACTGGCTAAGGATGGCTAAGGAGAAATGACATTCGAGCGTCAAAGAATCACCAATCTCAACAAGCTCTGGATATCGAACAAATTACGAATGTGCTAAGCAATATTGAAGGATCAAATAATTGAAAAGCAACACACAAGCACAATCTGGATGACCATTGTCACCATAAGCTGCAAAGCGCGCCTGTCGATTGCGCGTGCCCAACGCCATGCCCAGTTGAGTCACAAAGTCTTCACCAGCCTCAGCGTTGAGCCGGCACCTTACTACCTACTTGGCTTTCAACCCAAGCGTCTCACCTTCACATTCAATCCATAAAAGGTAGTTGCTGAGGTGGTCAAAAGGCTGGAGAGAAGTTGTTGGGGTGTCTAAGTACTTCAAAATCCGTTTTGCCCTGCATGAGATTCACACCTGACGATTCCGTGTGCCACCCAGGGCCATGCCCAACTGTGCCATGAAGTCCTCTCCCGCCTGCGAGTGGGAGAGAGCACAGTAAAAAGAACTAACACAAAAAAATAAATATATATATATGTATATGTATAATTAGAGTAGTTTTATTTCATTGAAGTAGGCGGATTCCATATGACTGAACTGGAATATAAAACTCTTGGTGGGAATTGAAGGCGGGGATGTCCGGATGCTATGACATACCAACAGAACCAAGGTTGCAGGTTCCATCATATCATCTCCAGGTAGAACGTTCTTCACTCTCGCCATTTCCCGTCTCTCTGGCAACCTCCTCATGTTGCTGAAGGCTTGCTGGTAGGCCGCCCAAAGCAGGATAAAGCCGGTGAATCAACCTTTGATCCCTCAAAATCACAAAAGCCTTCCGCAATTGCTTGAAACACTTGAAGAAATGGGCCTCAATATTCTGAAAGAATCCACACTGTCATGTACCCGAAGGTTCCAAAGCTTGAGATTCTAGAATTGAAAAAGGTTGGTGATCGGACGGGAGTGGGCTTCTGACCATAGAACTACCATGCCCTGGGCCTGTCGTATTCGACCTTCCATGCCGTGGAGGAATGCTCTTTGACCTGGCGGCGGATGAACTCTTGATTTGTAGTGGATTCAATGAATCCTAATTAGCAGGAATCTCCCTCAATGCGTTCATGCCAGTTCAAGAAAAGCAACATGCCCTACTAGTAAGGCACTTGTTACTACTAGCGATGCACTTGTTACTAAT